TTGTTTTTTTTATTTTTTTTTTTTTTTTTTTTTTTGATTTTACTTTTTGATTTTTTATTATTTCATTTTTTATTTTTTATTTTTTCTTCAAAACCCTAAAAATGACCATTTTGCCCTTTTGGTGATCTGATCAAATTTCTTGTGGAATTGTGATCCAAACTTGATCAAATGGTTCATATGAGTTCATAATGTTGATGTGGATCAAATTTCATGAGATTTGACTGTCAATTGGCCACAGTTGACTTTTTCCCCAATACAGTTGATTTCTAGGTCAACTGTCCAATTGACTAGGCAAAATTTGAATCAAGACTTGAAACTTGGGTATGGATAAACTTGGGAGGCCAATATGAAGCAAGAAAGTCATCTTGGGCACTTTAGGTCAAAACATCTTTGTGCAAACACAAACCCTAATTTGGTGTTAACAGTGCAAGGAGGAGTCTTGAGCAGATGAAACCCTCACTGGATCTTGAGCTTCAAGAGCTTTGTGATGGGAAATGTTGAGAAAAAGGGAGGGCAAATTTTGGGGTACAACAGTTGCCCCTGTTCAATCTTCTTGAATCCGAAGAGTTAGATTGCAGGCTTTCCTTTTGTGACTCGAGGGTAAAAGGAGATTGGACACTAGAGTGCCCGGAAATTTGCACTCATCAAAGCACAGGATGCGGGAATGGGCTTAGAGATGCCATTTGGAGATGGGCTTAATGATGCCATCGGGAGTAGTGACAGAAACTTGTCGGGGATGGGCTTAAAGATGCCATTTGGAAAAGAGTATCAGAAGGGTTTCCAGGCTTTGGACCATCTCTGAACTGGGGGTCTGAACAAGCAATAGATTGACATCCGTTGTTGGGAGGAACCTGTAAGCTATTTTTAGAAAGTTGCATCTGAACAAGTTGATAGATTAACATCCGTTACTTGGGAAGAATCCATGAACTGTTTTCAGAAGTCTTGAGAAGAATCTGAACAAGTGATAGGTTAACATCCGTTTACTTGGAGAACCCGTGAACTATTTTCAGAAATCTTGAAGTTGAATAAGCAATAGAGCAGCATCCGTTGTTGGGAAGCTTCCGTAAACTGTCTTCAAAAAGTTGCATCTGAACAAGTTGATAGATTAACATCCGTTACTTGGGAAGAATCCATGAACTATTTTCAGAAGTCTTGAGAAGAATCTGAACAAGTGATAGGTTAACATCCGTTTACTTGGAGAACCCGTGAACTGTTTTCAGAAATCTTGGGACTGAATCAGCAATAGAGCCGCGTCCGTTGTTGGGAAGCGTCCGTAAACTAAATTCAAAGGTGCATCTGAACAAGCTGATAGATTAACATCCGTTGTTGGGAAGAATCCATGAACTGTTTTCAGAAGTCTTGAGAAGAATCTGAACAAGTGATAGGTTAACATCCGTTTACTTGGAGAACCCGTGAACTGTTTTCAGAAATCTTGAGATTTGAATGTTTTTAGCCTGTCGACTGATCTTACCTGAAAAGGCAAAGAGTTAGTTGTATGCAATGCTATGATGCATGATACAATGTATATTATGTGTTATGAATGTAAATGGATGTGCATGTAAGCTGGAGAGCTGTCCTGCACAGGATAGATGAATCCGGGATAGCGGAAGATAGAAGTATCCTGACTGCTGTCGGGGAAAATAAATCCTGGGTTGTTGCTGGGGAACCTGGAGCTTGGGTTGTATACCAATCTTCTGGGAAATTCCTGAAGTCTTCTACTGGGGAGTACCAAACTAGTAGACTTAATGCTGGGGAGGCCAGATTGAGAATCTTCAGCTTGGAGAGAAGTATCTCTGGAGATTTCACTGGGGAACTCAAGATTTTTCTTCCTAAAAACTCTGTGGGGAGAAGGTTTAAAAGTCTGACTCCGCTGGGGATTGTCCATTTGAAGCTTTTGATCTGCTGGGGATAGTGAAGCTTAAACTCTGAGGGAAAATGATTTCCGGAAGATTCTCTGGCTGGGGATTTTGCAAAGATAAACTCCTCCGGGGATTGTATTGATAAGTTATTGTTGGGGAATTTTGACGAACTCTACTGGGGAATTTTGAGGAACTCCGCTGGGGATGGGAAGAACTTTGGCGAGCGCGATCTCCCCTGGTTGTTAGCTGAGGATAACCCAGTTATAAGCCTCTGTGAGGAATAACTTTGAATAAAACTCGGGAGGGACGTCCGTACTCTGCAGGGAGATATCCTTCGGAACCTTACTGGGGATAAGTTTTGAGAATCTGCTGGAGATAAACCTCAGGGTTTGCTAGGGATTATGGATTCCAAATCTCTTGGGGGTTTCCTTCGAAAGGGTGTCAAGATATCCATCTGTACTTTCATCTTATCAGTAATCCTCTTTCTTTGGTTCATTTAGGAAATGATTATGTTTCAAATGCATATGCCTATTTAACAAAACATTGGACGTTTCTTAAAATAAAACAAGTAGTGCAATAAAAAGAAAAGGGAAATGACACAAATTTCTGGGAAGAGTATTTGTATTGATTTTCTTTGGGTATATTTGTACAAAGGAGACAATCATCCTAGTAAGAGGATCTTGTCGTAAATATTTGAAAAATTTATACAAAATAAAGATGGCTATGTGAAATAATTCCATGGGATTCCATTCTGCTGTAGCTTTCACAACTCTGAACATCTGTCCATTCAATGCTTCATTTGACGATGGCTGGATTGATCAGAAACCTGGAACCGGTTGATGAAGAGACTGTCTTTGAAGTGATCCGACGAGACATAGTCATACGCTCTAATTCCCTAACTTTTTCCTGAATCGCCCTTTCGGGTTTTCGATCCACCGGGAAACCCCTTTTTGCCCAAGCCGCCCTTTCGGGTTTTCAACTTGCCGGGGTGTACAGATTTTTTTTTGTTTTTATCCCTAATTTTTGCCTGAAACGCCCTTTCGGGTTTTCGGTTCACCGGGATGCCCATTTTTGCCCAAGCCGCCCTTTCGGGTTTTCGACTTGTCGGGTTATCTTATGCGTAGTATCTTTTGACTATGTCTGCGTTCGCAGGGTGCGGCAAATCGTCGCCGTCCATGGTGGTCAGAATCATTGCACCACCAGAAAATATGCTCTTGATCACAAATGGTCCTTCATATGTAGGAGTCCATTTGCCCCTGGGATCACTTTGCGGCAAGATAATCCGCTTGACTACTAGATCTCCGACTTGATACACTTGACGTCTGACTTTCTTATTGAAGGCCTTGATCATCCGTTTTTGATACGTCTAACCATGGCATATAGCCGCAAGTCGCTTTTCGTCGATCAGATTGAGTTGATCAAGTCGGGTCTGCATCCAATCATCTTCATTCAAACCTGCATCCTTCATGATCCTTAGAGAAGGGATCTGAACCTCCATAGGCAAAACAGCCTCCATGCCATAAACTAGAGAAAATGGGGTTGCCCCAGTTGAAGTACGTGCCATCGTACGGTATCCATGCAGAGAAAACGGTAACATCTCATGCCAGTCTTTGTAAGTGACTGTCATTTTCTGAATAATCTTTTTAATGTTTTTGTTCGCAGCTTCAACAACACCGTTCATCTTCGGCCGATAGGGAGATGAATTGTGATGATAAATCTTGAACTGTTCGCATAATGCAGTGATCATTGTGTTATTCAGATTTGTACCGTTGTCTGTGATGATCCTGTCTGGAACACCATACCGACATATGAGGTTTTGCTTGATAAAGCGGGCAACCACATTTTTAGTGACAGAGGTGAAGGAAGCTGCTTCGACCCATTTAGTGAAATAGTCAATGGCAACCAGGATGAAGCGATGTTCGTTGGAAGCCGTGGGCTTGATTTCTCCAATCATGTCAATACCCCACATTGCAAAGGGCCACGGAGCAGTCAGGACGTTGAGGGGAACCGGAGGAATATGAACTTTGTCAGCATAGACTTGACACTTGTGGCAAGTACGGGAATGTTGATGGCAATCAGCCTCCATGGTAGACCAGTAATAGCCTGCCCTTAGGATCTTCTTAGCCATTGTATGCCCACTCAAGTGAGTGCCAAATGGTCCGCTGTGTATATCAGTCATGATTAATTCTGCTTCAGCTTTATCCACACATCGGAGTAATACACAATCATGGCTTCGTTTGTAAAGGATGCCGTTGCTCAGGAAGAACTTAGCAGCGAATTTCCTTAAGAACTTCTTGTCATT